AAGTTCAGCAGCACGTCATGAAAGGCCCCCCAGTGCCAGCGCAGCCTGCGATGTGACGCCGCCCCCTCCAAAGCTCCTCGGTGAGCACAGAGGCAGACAGTCTCCACAAGATGGAGGCAAGCACAAGATGGTGGCATTTCCCCCCCCCCCCCGCCCCAGTTTTTGGGAGAAGCAGCATTTTATGCTGCCTCATCACAGCCAGACCCTGCGAAACAGCCCAGACATGGGCAGAACCCCCTCCCGAGCACTGCAGTGGGCCATACGGCATCATACACAGCCAAGTGCAGCTCCCATGGCTGGGCTGCATGGTGCCCCACATCCAGGTGGCTAACATGGCAGCTGACCCTCTGGGGGGCCTAATGACATTTCCCCTGAACAAAGAGGCGCCTCACTCAAACATCAGAGCTTCAGCTTCATTCATGCTGCTGGAGACGTGCAATAGTCACGACATGGCCTTCTCAGATAACGCTATTTTATTGTGGTAGATGAGGAGGCCCAGTTCTGACATTGATCCTGTCTCCTGTGCAATCATGTGGGGATCAGATACCCCTCCCTGTGTTTGCAGATACCCACATTAAATTTCTTAATTCCTCAAGAGAGGGGAGAAGCTCAGTGCCTCTGGAAAACTCACCTGCATTTCCTAAGCATTTCTTCCAGCAGGGAGCCTCCAGTCCTCCTTTCCTATGTGAGCTTTTCATTTTATCACAAGCACGTTTGAGGAGAGGCCTCATCATGCATCGTTTGACTGCTAAGTCAAATAAAGGTGGTAACAAAATCTGTAATTTACACATTAATTTTTTACAGATGGCAGCCCTAGCACCAGTTTACATGCGGCACCTTTAGCTTGTCAGCCAGTGGACCTAAAAGGGCGCCTCTGTTTTCTTTCCTGACTACAGACATTGTAAGGCCCGGGAGCGCAATGTAGCACGAACACACGCGGTCAGCAGTCGGGTACACAAATACTTTTACAACATGTTAAGGAATGAGGTTGGAGGGGAAATCCAAACCTTCCGCTATAACTCAGGCAGCAGCTTCATTTTTTTTTTCCTTGGTCTGCACACACTGTAATACAGCTATTCTGAAAATTCAGTAACTGGCCTCCTGCCTCATATTTATGCAGCAAACTTGTACACAAAACACAATAATGAAATAAATAGTCTTTCAGTATGTCTGACTACTATGCATGAGAACTCCAATGTCCTGTCCTGGCACTGACGGAAGCAGCAAGGAAAAAGCCAAGGACTCAAAACAGTAATTGGAAAAAGTAAACACAGGAGAAACAAAATGTAAAAATGCAGAAACCATTAAGAAGCAAGGATAGCAATAGGAGATCACAAGATATTTTAGTATTCCTCTCTCCTTTTATTTTTCTGAGACATTTTTGCCTTAAATTCATACCATGCTCAATTATGACACGTACTGAAAAATCAAGAACACAAAACGCAGTCTAAATAAAAAGCACCAAAAAAGGAGGCAACTATATCACTTTATTACCATCATCTCTTACTCTCTTTCATGCAAGTCAGTGAAGTGCACAGCTCCACCTTCTCAACAACCTCATAGGTATTGGGAGGCATGTTAAATACCTACCCTGCTACACAGAGGTTCTCTAAAGGCATTTTGCTTTGCTTTTTCTTTAGGGCTTACCTTGTCAAAGTAGCAAGCAGTCATGCTGCCTCTGTAAGAATGTAAATATGAGGATCTTGAGACAAGTGGACTGCCTGAAATCATACTGAATTGGCAAGAGAAGAGACAGGCTTGGGTGTCAAGTGCCTTCCTTATTTCAGAAACCACGACAAACAATTTAGTGCGTGGTTCCTCTGTCAAAAAAATAAAACACAAATTGCATCTCCACTTTAGTGGACTTCTTTAGGCATTACATGGGAACTAACAGGTTAACCTAAAACATGTAACAGGTTTCATTCATTCATTGAGTACTTAAAAACCACACTAAACTCACCACAAACACTTCTCAATCCATCTTTTCATGAATGAATAGCACTTTCATACCAAAATGGTAGCTGAAATATGACTGAACATTGTAAATACTAAGCACAAGTAAGTATTAATGCAGCTGATGCATTCACTATGCTGTTATAGTAAGGTGGGTTATTTCCGTTAACAATTTCTAAATCTTTGAAAGCAAGGCCATTATCAGTTAACTGACTTGACAAAGGTGCACACAGTTGCTTGATCCAACATAACCCAAGATATGTACCAAATTTGGTACCCTGGTACCAAAACACCCTCAGCTTCTTGTAAAACTTAAAGCTTAAATATGTATTTGAGGTCCTGGTGAATTTACACAAAGCAATTCATGAAACTTGGCCTTTGATGCAAGGATATTCGATTTCCAGGTCCTACTTCACCAGTAAAGCCTAAGGTAGTCATTCTGCATGACGTAACTCCCCAGCAGCAGCTCTGCTGTACTGAAATGCACAACCATGTACTAGCAAGTATTCATGACATAGTCATCCAATAAGTAAGATCAATGCTGGCCATATATTTTAAACCACAGCACTAAGAGTCCTACACAGTGTCCGACAATTTTGCTTTGCTGCCTTCTGCATTCAATTGTATCGAGAGAAGAGGACACAAGGAGAAAAATTTTACTTCAATGCGCTCATGAAGCCTTGCTATTTCCCCTGCTCTTCGTGTAGTGACTTTGACGTGACAGACACACTGCCGCCTCTTTAAAGTCATTATTGCTGTAATGGAAACTAGTGCAAAGTAAGGATTTTACATCATAAAAGGAAGGAGGACCTTAAAAATATTTTAAAAAATCATAAATATCTCATTTTCCTTTTGTCCAAATAGTTCCCAAATATTACTTGCACACATTAAAACCGCTTGAAAAATCACAAAAGAGTTATATTCATTTCTATGACAAAAAGCGAATAGATGTACTCTTTTTCCCTTTACAAGAGCTAGGAAGGGTAGCTGAAACTACAAATAAGGATTAACCACACTGACAAAAATGGCATTGCCTGACAAGAAGTACACTGTCTCAAGCTTGCATTTTATCAAAATTCAAATTAGACAACTGCCTTGTATATACAAGCTTCTATCCCGTATTATTTTACAGCATCTCACATTATTTGCCATTCCTTTCCACTTAATATTTCAAGAGATTTGGAGATAGAAAATTATTTCAAGGTTTAGTACAGTTTAGTTTGGTACAGGCACAGCTTAGCCACAGGACAGTCAAGATCTGGACTTACTGGTTATGAAATGAGAGATATCAAGCCATTATTATGAACTATTAAGCTATGCATAAAGTTGGATAAATATTTAAGTACAACTACACATTGCAGAAACACATTGCTTAACAGTAAATGCAGAGTATTACTGGGTCATGTGGCAAAAACAACATAAATCAAATTACCATTTACAACACACACAAATGTACTGTAAACTAAAAGTAGGCTGTTAGGATTTTTTTTAATGTTTGATGAGATTTGTGCAAGTGATGTGTAATTTCATAAATACACAGATGTGAATTACCTTTCAGAATATTTACTGAATCCAAACACAAGGTTTAATATCATTATCATTAATACTATTGAACACTATGAATGCTCACCTGTCATGCATCTGCTATGTTCTGCTTATAAATGTCTTTTTATAAGTAATCTTTTATTTCTCCATTACATTTGCTTTTTGCTGAAACTTACCATTATAGTGTAAGTGTAATGATAATAGTGAAAAATATTCATCATAACATGTTAACATTGAAGTAGTAATGACTCAAATCTGCAACTTCGAACAACCTCTTGAGAAACAAGCATCAAATATTTACACAACTAGTACCTTTTAAATAAAATTTTAGGAAAGCACACTGAGTATTTTTTCAAAGTTCTTATTTTTATTATTTGCAGTAACTGTAGCATTATTTACAGCTTGTATCTCTAATAAATCAAAGCAAACCTGCACAAAGAACAACTTATTCAAGAATAGCACTTGTAAAAGTGGAACCTTGGTTATATAAACCCAGTTGCGTTGCATGTAATATTTAGGAATAATTTGTGTATCATAAAACTTTCAGTACAGTCATTCTAGTTTCATGGATCTTTCAGGGCTGTTGAAAAGGTTCATTTTAGGGGTGCAAAGGGAAAACAGCTACAAGGCTTATAGAGACGACTCACTTTGAAACCAAAATTAATTAGACTAAAGTATTAAACTACAGCAGGGAACTCTCTTCAGCTGTAAAAATTTTGTTCTGCAAAACAAAACAAAACACAAAATTAGTCACTTTGCAGTATTAAGCACAATTAGAATCATTGACTGGCTAAATGCTTAAACTAACTTGCTGGCTCATGCTGCACATATCCCCATTTCTGTTGAAAGTTTTTGAGGTTTGACAGCCAGCTCCCGGCTCTGAAACTAAAGGCCAGGAGGTAAAAATCTGATTACTTCTGTGAGGGATTTGCCTTTTTAAAACCTGGCTGAAAAACTGAGACTTCCCCATAAAGGGTCTGCATGGGATCACCTATCACTTCTACAAAATACACATAGAAACTAAGACGTCTGAACAGTTTGCTCTATTCATTCCTAAAAGCATTTTATGAACTCATCTTAGAATTAAACCAGGCAATTATTAGCAGTTTTGATGAATAAGTTTTGTTCCCTCAATTCTGAATGTAGCACTCTCTAAACTGCAGGATCAATCTGATTTTTTTTTTTTTTACTTATTCCATTTTATGGAAAAAAAAATGACAGAAATGGGAAAATAAGCCCAAATGAAGCAGTTAGGACTGATACAGCATGGGATTAAGGCATAGGCACTAAACAGGAAATACACAAGTGATCTCCAGAAGGGCACTGTTTACTACTAACAGAAGTGACAAGCCTAGCATCCCAGCACATATTAAAGGCTTCAGAGGAGGCTGCCAGAGACCCTTGAACTATTAGATGTCAATGTTCAGACTTGCAAAGGCTACAGTTCTGGCTTTGCAACTTTGAAACTAGAACCTCTTCAAACCCGTGAGAGATCCCCAAGAACAAAATAACAAAAGAGCATTACTCTTACAAGATTATTCTTAGGTATTTTCTGCTGTACTTCAAAGGGGAGTTTTACCTGAAGCAAATCCTTAACCTCTAAAGATGCCAATAATGTAGGAGCAGAATCCATGCAGTGATTCCCAGCAGTGCTCTCGTGCCAGTTTCATGGCTTCAGTCTCGTTTGCAGGCCCTTGAGCATGTTGGGCTGGTTTTATAAGAGGTAATACTGGCGGTTTCCCCATCTTCTTTACAGAGCTTTTCCCTACTCCCTTCGTAGAAACTGACGATTTCTCTTGGTTTGCTGTATCTTCCGGCTCCACACCACCAGCTATTTGCTTCATCTCGGCATCTGGGGGAGCCTTTTGGCACATGGTGGCCTTCAGCACTTGAGTAGCTTCACAAGCATGTGGGAGCTTCCTAAGTTCCATGGCGATCTGGTTCCAGTAGATCTTCGGATTCTTTCTGAAAGGACGACAGACTGATGGTTTGCCGGTGAATTCACACCAGTAGGACTTGCCTTGGTTTTTGCATTCAACTCTAAGTTTCATCTCCTCATCACCACTCATGCTCATTGTGCAAGCATCTTTGGCTTTAGTCCGAAAGCTGATTTCTTCCCCGTTGCTTCTTTTCTTTGGTTTCAGCTTCTGTCCAAAACCTCCCATGCCACAGATCACTACTAGGAAAAGAAGAGCAACACTCTTCATCGTGAGAGGGGCTGAGATCTTTGAGCAAAACGATTGGAAAAAAATGAAGGTAGCTTGCTGCTCACAATTTAAAGGCTTGGTGCACAAAGAAGCCTCTTTCCAGCTAAAGGTGGGATGTGTATATATGTATTTTTTTTATAATAAATCACCCTTCAGTACACATGTGCCCATAATTTATAGCCCAAGGGAGTGTCAAATAACCTGTAAACTCCCACGAAAGTAACAAGACAAATCTTGTAAATCCACTTAAATACAGCATGATAGTTGTGTAACTAAAGCACATTCCTATCTATGATGAACATGTCGTATTTGATTTTTAACAGATATTTTCCAATCTCCAGTTCCTTTATAACTATCTTCATGCCACAACCTGTCATACCATATTGAAGTAAACAAAGTAAGAGTGCCAAAAAAAGCCCATGTAGCTAGATCTGGATCATTATAATTACATTCTATTAATAAAAACTGATTTATAGACTTGGTCTTCTGTGGATTTGCAAAGTAATGATGTGGCTTCACTACTTCATTTTTCAGCATTTGACATGCAGTGTGGACACATGGAAAAGCTTGGAAGAACCAGCTGCACATTCTTTGAGCTGTGTAAGATTTTTAAGACTTGCCGTCTTGAAAGGATAGGAAGGAATAAAGATAAGGAATAAGGATGAAGAGAAGGAACAAGATAAGGAATAAAGGTGGCAACATAATATCTTATGGGCCTAAACAAACTAGACGTTTTGAAATTTGTAATCATTGCCACGCTGTGGGTTATTTTCAGCCAATTATGCAAGACAAAAAAAATAATAAGCGGCATATCATGGGTCTTGGTAGTGGGGAATAGACCCGAAATGCACCTTCTCTCCCCATTTTTCGTATATTTTCCTATTCGCAAAAAAAGAGCTGTAAAACTGCAGTAAAATAATGGCAAGAGCACCAAAATATTTCAGTGCAGAATTCTGTAGTGACAAAAAAAAAAAAAAAACTAAGAAGAATCATAACTCCCTCAGCACTGAGGAGAAACCCCAGCTGTTGTGTTGCACTCCACAAAACTCCTCTGGCTAATGAGACCTCATTAGGAACTTCTTTCACAGAGACATCTACGCCCAGCCTGATTTGAACAGCTTGTGAAGGAGTGTCCCTTTAGTTTGGTCTGCTCGAATAACTATGGAATGAAAGAAAGCCTAAGCTTAAAAAGTGTCCTAAGTACAAGAATAAAATAACATATTGTGTATCTAGCTGCTTGACATGTACACTAAACGAAACATAAAGACTTCCCAGAAAAAACAAAAATATTTAACAGATTTATAATGAAGCAAATAAAAAACATAGAAAAAATGCTGAGCTAATAGTTGACAATAGGCATTGCTCTTTGCTGCTCTGGCTCCCCAGCCAGCTTGTGATCCCCCTGGTAAAAGACGAAGCCACCCAGAACCACCATTCCTGGCAGCCTGACCTAGTCTCTTCCCTCTTTGTCCCCCTCTGTTAACAGTTCAAAATGCTTAAAAAATGCTGTACCCCAGTTTCAGATCTCTATGAAATACTCCATTTCTTTTAGCCACTGAAGACCAGGCACTTACAGAAACAAAGCAGACTACAAGGATAAGGACAAAAAGAAAGACTTGGACTCAAGAGCTCTGGTGCACTTATGTATTTCAGTTAACATGTCACTGACAGCTGTTTGTCCCACATCCATCTGGCATTTGTGTCCTCACCAACATCTGCCTGTGCTTCAGATGAAACAGGAAAGGAGAGAAAAAAAAAATCACAGAAACTTTTATGATAAAAGCACTCTCATTCTGATAAGATCTTAACTGAGTGCAATGCAATGCCTCCCTCTGAGACAAACCTTTATACAAACAAAACAATTGTGAATCAATCGTTAGTTAGTTAACCAAGTTCTTTTTTATTTAAATGAACTGGGAACATTTTCTCAAATTAAAAATAGAAACTTTTAAAAATCTACAGTTCTGAACATTATATATACACATATGCTACATATTGTCAGTTAGAAATGTTTCCATTTATGACCTAAAAATGAAAAAATAAGGTTATTCCAGATTAAAAACTGGTATCACTTTTCAGCATTTCTTTAAAATAATTTCAATGATTTTCAGGATTATCCCGACTTTAAGCCAATAAACCTTACTGGAAACAAAGTTAAGAATACTGGCACAGGAAGAGAAGCAGTTTTAGCTCAATATACCCAATTACGCTAGTAATAGACCCATTTGTGGCCCTTTCGATAAATTCTACTGTTAACCGAATTCAGCAACACAACTGTATGCCTAAAAGGTACTAATTCAACAGCAGTAATGTTACTAAAAGGTAGTAAGTAACTCAAACAGTAGGAATATAAATACAGTTTCTAAAAATGTTTTAATTTCGATATGTAAAGTCACATTTTAAAGTTAAAGAATGACTAGCTGCTGAAAGAACCACAACTTAACAGTGATATCTATGGAAGGACATTATAGGACTGGATGTGAAGAAGGAAAAGAGAAGAAACACAATGTAAAGCATTCTGATAATCACCAACATTATGACATCTTTCATGCTCTTTTTGAGAACTACTGAACTCTAGAAAGCTTAGCTTTTTTTTTTTTTTTTTTTTTGCCATATTATGCATCATACACACTCCCAACCCTCCCACCCAAATACGGTTTCAAACTTCTCCAAATAGACCCATTTAGGTCTATAGTCTATACTGCAAGTCACTAAATATTAAATAATTCAAAAAGAGGAAAAAAAAAACTGCAACTGAACTTTTCAGAGACACAAAGAGACACTGTGGATCCCATTACATTTAAAATTTAGTCAAAAGTGGTCATTCAAGAGCACCAAATAGCAACACTGATCATGCTGGTAAATTCATTTGTGAAGTATACTATACAATATTAAAATCTTAACTAAACACTTAAGTTTTAAGAAAAATGTATATACAAAAGTCTCTGTATATAAAATGTGTTTTTATGTAAACATGTATATACTGTATTTAACACATCCCAACAGTTTAAGAATTTAACCAATTGTCAGAATATAACTAAGCAAAGTCTGTTAACCTAATGAAATTATATACTATGATGTAAGATAGAAAGCCCAGTGTAAAAAAGTAAAAAACAAACAAAAAAAACATTTTAATTCAAGCCTTGAACAGTGGTATTCAAGAGCCAGTGCCTTGGTCACAAAATATTCTGTACAGTAGCTTATGGCATAACATTCAATAGTGTATTTCTGATTTACAGTACAGGTCACATAAAACAAGTGGCTCAGTGTTTGGAAGATGAATGCAAATGTCAATATACTTGGAAGAATAATGATATATTCTTGTAGATGAATCTTGAGCCTCATTTCTATAACCTGGAAATAATCACAAAAACAATTCAGGAAAATTTGACGAGCAGTAACGTAACTGTGAATTGCATTACAGTGTAATTTAAGCAGAATGCAGGAGTATACACACACAATATGAACATCACTACGGCTCAACATGTTTTAATTTATTTACAACATCCATGCTACTGAAAACACAGCAGCTTTCTCAAAAGTAGTAAAGCAGTAATAGATTTGGAATCAACTTTAGAAGTTCGTTGCTTACCCCTTAATGTTTCCAGTATCTGCTACCACTGTTCCACAGAGCTATAAAAAGAAAAACAAAACCACAGAGTATAATTTTCTTCTGTCCACAGCCAGAATAGAAATACTTTGTATAACCGTAACACAAGAGAGCTCATTAAGCACCAACTGATTTCAAAATTTTACCAATTTAATAAAAAGTTTTTCGAACAAAAGAAAATAGATTCATGGTTTTTGCCAGCAATCTTTCCTGTTTTCTATCGTTTTAGGACAGAAACAAACGCTTGGATTGCCAACATCACTGACTTCCACTGAACCATTTAATTGAGTCTCCAATTTTGCTCACACAAAAAAGAGACTATATTTTATATCATTTAAATGTATCATTTATATTTGTGTAAATATCTCAAACTGTTATTTTATATATATCTCTGATAATTTCATATTTGTGTTTCTCTCATATTTATAAAAAGAGATATTTATTTCTCTTTCCAGCAAAATAATTTGGCAGATTTTAAAGGATAAATAATACAGATACTTCTATACACCTGCAGAAGTACCAGTTTGTAGAGGTCTGTTTAAAGGCTTTCAGTCTCTCAGGATGCATAATGTGAGTTTTTAAACCTACATCACCTAAAGCATCTAAAATAATCTGTAGCATTATTTGCTAAGAAAGCAGAGGTAGCACAGAAGTAAAGAGTTTGCTGAATTGAAAATGAATAATAAGACTCTGTTATTATGGGAATCCTGGAGTAAGAAACTCAACGTGTTTAATATAATCAGCAGATTTTCAAATAGTCTTCATTAACTTATACGGAAACATTTCTTCAACTGAATTCTTCCATTATTCCTACAGTTTTAATAAAATCTAGGAAAAGAAAGTGAGGACTGAACTAGTGGGCCTTTAACTTTTTTTTTAAATGTTAATTTTTAGCTTATTCAGGAATGCTGTGTTAAACTAGTCATCAATCTCTGAATTGTCAAAAACAAACAAACAAAACCCCACAAACACATACCACAAAGCTCAAAAATATCAACACTGGTATTAAGAGTTAAAGATCAGAAAGGACTGAACAATGACAAGTTTCCTCTTATGCAAAATATCAAAAGTTGTTAAAACTGCATTCTTAGATGTGCTAACGGAGATTAGTTTTGAGTCAAACACTGTGTAGGTTAATTTAGGGAAACCCAATATGGACCATGACACAATAACGAACACCTAATATCACTAAAAATAGTTATATGCAAATACTTCTTGTATATGGAGTCAACCTTTGGTCAGCAAGATAATTACTGTAAAAAAAAAAAGTTAAAAAAACCCACACCTGTAAAACAATGTACAACTGATACAGCCATAAAAATCTGGCAAAACTTAAGAAACTTTGGGGGGTTTTTATTTCACTTGTTATTGAAAGAATAATGACATCTCA